TTTGACACTTTAAAAGGTGAATAATGAGTGTCAATTTTTCAAAAATGTAATAATTGTGTTGTGTTTGGGTCAAGTTTTTTAAATTTATTTTGTTTTTATGCAGAAACACTGAGAAAGCAGATAACCGTTCAACGGTCCCATTATGGGTGAAGAAATAAGACTGGCAGGATATTTCAGACTCCAATCTGTTGAAGCTGCTGGAAGACAAAAAGCATTAATAAGTGATAGTTAAGTTGAATTGTGCTGAGGGGAAACGTTCCAACTGCTTCCTGGAAGATTTGGCTCTGCGGTGCCTGATGGGCAAACGAGCAAGAGACAACAAACAAAACAATCTGTTTAAGAAGTAGAAATAGCCATCTGTTCCAGATAAAGCGAACACGGGAATAGTCACCGGATGACAAGAAACTCAACAGAAAACAATTCCAAGGACAAGAATGTAGATTTATCATTTCTTGTTGACCAGCTGGCAGGAGGACCTGATGAGCTGCAGATGCAGGAGCAGATCAAGCAGTGGCCGCACCCATGCAACCCAGCGAATGCTGCAGAGCTGAAACTGAAGCTGCAGGCAAGTTGTCTCCTCCAGCATTGTAAATGTGTTTCCACTGCACGCACATTTCCATCCAGGCTTTGTTGATATTCCGTTACAGTTGAGGGAAACCAAACAAACAAAAAACAAACACACACAATTTTGCAATTGCTGGGTTTCTGTCAGTTAAGAAATGCAATTAAAATGACACGTGAGCAAGTCATTTTTAAAAATGCCACGCCGTCATCCTCACGTCACTTCCTGTCGTCTTCTTTGTCGTTTCTAACAGTGGTAACATCCGGTTGTTGATCACGTAACTCATGTGATGTGAAAGAAAAAAAGTGTTTCCACTGCAGTTTTGCGAAATAAATTAATTTCAATATGGATAGTAATAATAATAGTAATAATACTAAATACCGCATGATAATTTTAGGTAAAGAAAACAAGTTATGAGTGAAAAAGAAGCCTGGAAAATACTCGTCAAACTTCTAGTATTTTACCACTGAACCCAGACAACAAGGCAGCCATGGCTCATCAGGAAACAGGAAGTGGGGATGACAGAGGGCGAGAGAGTGCCACCTTCAGGATGATGGTGGCAAAGTTTTCATACAAAACCCTAACCCTAAACTTTACATAAAATAAAACAAGCATTTTCAAAATGGCTGTGTTTCTGTACAACAAGTTTATTTTTGAAATGTCAAATTGCTCAATTCTAAGGCTAATGGAAACGCAGCGTCTTTTTTCTTTTTGGCCTATTGCTGATTGGATAGGCTTCACCAAAATTCCCCACAACACTAATTCAGTATTTCTGAATAATCCCAGCTCTTGGACACTCTTCACAACTCTTGCAAGTTTAGCAATTTTCAAGATAACGCTGGCAAGAATCACGTTCACAGCCTGATGCCGCTGTCAATGTTCTTCGCTCAGTGATACTTCTGATGTCAATGTTCCCAGTCGGAAGAAGAGTTAGCGTCTTCCCAACCTGGTGTAGACTTAGAAATTCACCAAAATATTATAAATACGTTCAATGAGAAAATTCTTGGCAGATTTTAGACTGTCAACTGCATGGTTTTTGATCCGCATGTAAGTGAACTGTGGCAAAGGAGGATCCTGCAGACATTTTGGATTTTAGTGTTGTATTAATGTTTCTTAAATTGCTGTACATCAGTGCTACAGAATAAGATCATTTGTTTAAAAAACAAAGGCTTAAAATATATCCTTTTTTTTTTCAATTAAAATCTCCCACTGAATTCTTAAGAAAACGCCAAGCTTAACATTATTTATTGTATTCGGTTATTTTAACATAATCCCCAGTCGGCACCCATAATTTAAAACCTTACTTTTCGGAGGCAAGAGTTTCTTTGAACTCCTAATCGGTAATTTATGATTTTCTGTTTCCCTGGGAAATAAATATTTGACAGTAAAATGGATGAGGAGTCGCATTATCCTGTCACCTCGCACAATGATCAAGTCCATAAGTGAGGTCGGAAAAAATTCAAAAGAATCTACAAAGCTGACTGTCAAGAAGTTTCCAACAAACAAGGCCATTTCAAGGTCACCCAGACTCCACAGCAACCAGTCGTTTCAGAGTAAAGTGTCCTGACTCTGATTTGGGGAACTCCTGTCCTGGAGAGATTGCACAAAAAAAACAAACGAAAAAAAAAAAAAACATGAAGAAGAAGTCACATTACATTTTGTAAGAATCTTGCTGAAAGGCTTAGCAGTTTGTGTTCCTAATTAAAGTAATTAAAGCATCAGACAGTAATTAAAGCATTAGGACCGCTGGCGCTGACAAAATGAACTCTTATTACATGTGTGTGTTTTGACATACTTTTTCATTTTGTGAGATCATGCCACTGCAACAAAAGGTGAATTTATTTCAAAGGCTTCAACAGATCTTAACCGAGGTTGTGGCACATTTCAGCACTGATGAAAGAAGAGCTGACTAGCATCACCAAAGGCCTGTTAAATCACTGGTTCCCATGGAAACTTGTGGGCACAGGTTAGACGTCTGAAAGGCGCTGCGGGAATATCACAAGATAGCATTTGATGTATGTATAATTTCATTCTTACTTCATGGAAAAAACGGCAATTGCGAAATTGCGCTTGTTTGCGACAGCAGCAGAATATGGGCAAAGATTTGAACACTTAATTCCTGGAAGCTCAGCTGCTGTCTGGTTTACATCAGACAGAAGGAAGGCTGGAGCTGGTGTTGCTTCAGCACACACGCACACACACACACACACACACACACACCCACACCCACACACACACACAACACACACACACATACACACACACACACACACACACACACTGCTGCATCTCTACCTTCCCGGTACGCCGTAGCAGTGTCATCTCCACATTCTCTCTTTTTTATTATCATTCTCTAAGGTGGCGGTGCATGCTTGTGTCAGGAGACCCTCTGTGAAGATAGCTGTTAGACATGCTGACTCTTCAGGCTGCGCCTCCTCCTGTGAGCCTTGTGTCCTTGCAAGCAGGAAAAGTGGTGCACTGTTGCAGATGGATGGCATCTGATAGTTGGCCGTTGCTTCCTCTGAGAGGAACGCACGCTCGGATTTCAACTGCCTCCAGCCGCCTCTCCCTGCGTCGGATTGGCCGGTGTTGGGCTACAATCTGGTCAAGCAGACCGTAAAGCGTTATGATCCATCGGCGAGTGACGCACGAGCGTCCTCGCCCTCCACTGTGAACTCATTTTGGTGTACGAGGTATTAAATCTCTTGCCCCCAAAATTCTTGCCTCTCCTTTTCCTCTCTCCCTCCGTTTTTGCTCATCGCGTTAAATGGAGTCTGGTCGGGACGGGAGCCAAGAGCCGTTCACCCAGCCGCCGGGGCTCCCAGGAAAAGCGGCGACTGTATTTATAGCTCTGGTCCGCCTGTGCCAAAAAAGATGGAACAATCAGCAAAGGAGCATAGAGTTCAGTATGAACACGGATTAAAGGACTTTGAAAATAGATAGTGGACGGGTGTCCGCCTGTGAAGTGCCACTACCTGGGATGAAAACAAACCGTCAATGGATCGCTTGGGAAGCAACGAAGACAAAGGCTCAAAGTCTACATGACACTGAGCTCCAAAATGATAATATGAGGTGGGTCAGAGAGGGGGATGACCTGACAGATCTCTAGATTAAAGATGGATTACGATGGCTTTGGCCTACTGACCATGTGGTCTTCTGAGAGGGCACAAACCGAACAGATGGCACGCGACGCATCCTGTTTGACAAGGTCGTTTGCATTACACAGCCGGAGGCCTTGGTTTGTGTGTCATGGTAACTACATTACCTGACAGCATTTCACACAACAATAGTGGCGCACATTGCCACATGGGCTCCGTTGCGTCTGACAGTGAGTTAGCGTCCCATTGACTGTTTCCTCTGTTTTTCATTCATGTCAAAACCAGAGTATTCCAGTTTCAGAGATAGACGGACAGACAGATCTTTTCAGATTTTCTCATATTAAGGGGAGCATTTAAGATCACAGAAGCATGGCGAGCAGACGATTGTTTAATGAAAGAAAAAAACCCGACGAAACAGGAAACGAGGCGATCACAAACTGTTGGTAACGGTAGAATCCAGCAAGGAGTGAAAGGTCAAATACTGAGGGTGTGTCTGATGGAACAACGGAGCAGGACTGATGAGCGAGTGCAGCTGGGGAAATGATCATTCTAACAGTAACAACAATGAATTAAACACAAGAACTAAATAATAAGCACGGTCAAAGACAAGTTTTATCATGTTCTTCAATAACTAAGAGCAGACATCTATTTAAAAAAACGGAGCGTAACTAAGGCTAAACATAGACGCTTCCTTTTTAATGTGTGAAACTTTCAGTCTGAAAACAAATGACCAAACAAAGGATGCTGGTTGTGCCGTGAGTACTGGTGAGATGTTGTATCACCTCGTTTTAAAGAGACCGATACGCGCGTCTCCCCGTTTTCAGGGATCTGGAAGTTCTACACTCCTGCTGCCAACCCAGGGAGGGCGGAGCGGGGAGGAGGCCACCTGTGCATTGTAACCCTAGAGACGTCCCTGGATACAGAGACACACGGATACACAGAGTGCTAATCTCATGTGACGTCATGACAACGCACATAAAAAAAATTAATAAATAAAAAAGAGCCGACTTCATTGGCAAATGGGCATCTGCAGGGACTGTTTCCACAGGCAGGAAGCATTCAGGAGGGAAGGGGAGGAGGGGAATCAAGTTCCGGGTCTTCCCTCGGATCAGCCTTCAAATCCTCATCTCCGCTTGTGTTGACTGACTGGCAGTGATCTCAATCGGCTCACAGATAGATGGTGCTCCTTTCAGCGTCTCATAGGCTCTCGCTCTCTCTCTTTGCTTGTGTGTGTGTGTGTGTGTGTGTGTTGTGTGTGTGTGGTGTGTGTGTGTGTGTGTGTGTGTGTGTGTGTGTGTGTGTGTGTGTGTGTGTGTGTGTGTGGGAGGGACTAAGGAAAAGCTCCCCTCCGCCACAGCGTCGTGCATTAGAAGGAGGAGGAGAAATGGGGGGGAACTCAAAGCACACTCGCCGATAAGGTTTCTTTTTTTTTCTCCCCCTAATCTCTCCTCTTGGTCCTGCGGCTGGAAGAAGAAGAAGGAAAAGAAGAAGAAGAAGGAGTCGATCGGGATGCTGAGGTAGCGCGGTGAGTCGGTCCGCCTCTCTGATATATCAGTGCGGTGTGGTGATGCGTTTTTTTTTTTTTTTTTTTTTTTTTTTTTTTTTTTTTTTTTTTTTGTTTTTTTGTCAGGGATTATTAAAGCACAAATAAAAGCGGATTGTTCCCGGTCGCAGAGGGGCTTGTGCCACATCCTGTGAATTCAGAAGTAGAAGAAAAAAAAAAGTGTTGAGGGGCATTCCGATAGGCTTCCGTTATGTCGGTGGAGCTCAGTGCTGTGCGTGGATTTCCCGTGAATTGATGAGTTTTTACTCAAACGCGCGCGCGTGTGTGTGTGTGTGTGTGTGTGTGTGCGTGTGTGTGTGTGTGCGCGCGCGCGCACCATGTCTTGTCCACCTGAGAACAAATGGCTTTAGCTTAAGCTCAGTTTAAACGTGGTATGTTTTCCTAATTGGATATGAAGGCTTTCTGGCTGATCACCGGGCTGTAAGCGCCTTTCAGAGAAGCGTCCGCGGATTTCTTTCAAATTGGCCCTTCCGCTTTGAGGCGCTCTTTCTTCCTGAGTCATAAACACGTGTGCACTTTGCGCAACTTAGCCAGAATACAACCAAGTTTTTTTTTTTTGTTTTTTTTTTCTATTTCATAAATAGATCTCGGATGTAAGCTGCCGATGTTCAAACCCTGAGCCTGCGTGTCTGTCGTCCACTTTTTAGGGATGCTGTGGAGTGGAGACGCCGTGGGAGGAAGTCTCAGAGAGAAAAACGAATGGCTTCCCCGAAGCTGCCTCCCGCAAAGGAGGCGGGCAGGCAGTCCGAGCTGAACCCAGAAGCAGTCGACCGGGTTTCCGGCGCGCAGCACGCCCGGAAGTCGGCCGGATCGACAGGAGAGAGTATCCCCGGCCGGTGCCTTTCAGCACCGCGGACAGCGCAGCGCAGGGCGGGAGCGGAGGGAAAGCTCTGCCCTCCCCCCGGCGGCGAGGAGAAGCTCCGGGTGTGCTGCGACGAGGAGCTGGAGACCTCCTTCACCTTCATCGACGAGAACGTCAACTTGCGACTGGCCAGCCCGGAGACCGGCTGCAAAACCTCGCACAGGCCCGTCCGCAACGGCGAGCCCTGCTCCGACACCCAGCCGGAGCTCTCCTTCATGTCCGAGGACGACCTCTCGTTCGGCGAAGGCTCCGGGAGCTCCGTGGACTACGGCTTCATCAGCGCGGTCACGTTCCTGGTGACCGGGATCTCCCTGGTGATCATCTCCTACGCTGTGCCGCGGGACGTGGAGGTGGACCGCGACAGCGTGTCGGCGCGGGAGATGGAGCGGCTGGAGATGGAGAGCGCGCGGATAGGCGCCCACCTGGACCGCTGCGTGATCGCGGGACTCTGCCTGCTGACGCTGGGCGGCGTCGTGCTCTCCACGCTGCTCATGATCTCCATGTGGAAGGGGGAGATGTACAGGAGGAAGCTGGTGGCCTACTCCAAGCGCTCGGCCAAACTGTACGGCTCCATCAGCCTGAAGACCCGATCCAGCCCCAGCCACTCGTCTGCCCGCTTGTCCCTGGAGGAGGAGATGGTGGAGACTTTGGCTTAAGCCACCGCCCTGCATAGAAACGTCTGTTTGTTTTTGAACAAGAATTGACGTTTCATATCTGCTGAACTAACTATTACATGCAAGACCCTCCGATGGTAGGGAATGGGCTGAATGCAGGTCCTAGATGTGTTGTAGTTTGAACCCAATGGTATCAGTGATGAGTCCCCACGATGGTATCTCCACTGATACCAAGTCAGCCTGAGCAAAATGAACCTGGTCCACATGGATGATGGCTGGAGAATTGCCACGGCTGACATGTACTTTTCTGCCAATTTTTTGGGGCCTATATGGGATCCATATTTAATAGCGACCATAGACTAAGCTGTGGATCAGGGTTTCCATGCCAACAGGGGCCATCCTTAGAGCACCAGACCGACCCATTTGGTGAATTACCCCCAGTCAGACACAGGTATGTGGGCCAATCCCGGGCTGGATGGGCGCGAAGTATGCATGGCTTCTTCTGGAGGAAGAAGATAATCGATGTCAGCCAAACAACTCTCATTAAGAAAAAAAAAAAAAGAATTTGACTTTTATTATCGAGTTTTTAAACAAGAAGTCAATTTCCAGACAACATTTAGCTACTTTGTCTCCAGAGTTGATCTACTGTATAGGTAATGAAGATGCATCCACTGTGTCAACCAGGGACTGTCCCAATACAAGCCATTTTGTCAGCCCATTTCCTGCCTATAGGGTCCCGTATGTAAAGTGAGTGAACCAGCCTCAACGGACACTTGAGGCTGGCTGCTTACTAAGGATTATAAGCATCAGCCATGTGCTGTAATGTTTGAACATTGAGTACAACCAGCTCATAATGACAAGAGATTTTATCAGTTTTTTTTTTTTTAAAAGACAACGAATTCCCATTTTTTCCCAAAAACTAAATTGGTCTAACAAATAAATTTTTTTAAAAGAATGTCTGCTCTGTTTAGGTAAATCTGCTTCAGATTTCATTTGTCTGCATATTTTTATGCTTCATCTTTTTTTTTTTTTTTTTTGCCTAATTTCAATTTGTTTCTAATGCCAAAAACGCATTAAAATGTTCCGCTTTGTGTTTTCACAAAAAATAAAATAAAATGTTTATGAATCTGAGTCTGGTCATTGTAATATAATTAAGGTGACACAAATCTGTGAGTCATTCAAAGTACCAAACGATGACACTACCTTCAGCATTTTTAGCGGTAAATGGTCACAGTTTCTTCGTGGCGGTGCTGATAGAAATTCACGTTTTCAGACAGCCGAACATTTTTGTTTGTACAAATTAAGAAAACACAACAACATTACCCACCCGCAACTACAAATTACAAAATAAAACATAAAAAAAAACACACACACACAAACCGGAAGAGTTAGGAAACCTGAGACCTTGCTCACTGGACGACCTTTGCCACCGAAAGTTATTTCGACTTTCGCGCGTTTGTCGAACATCCGAATTTCAACAAACGCAGCAGTAGCTACACGATGGACACATAGCTACCGCTATCGAGCCTAAACTGCTTCATTCTTTTTGGCAGTTCAGGCAATGCAAAATACGGCGCCTGTGTGTCAACCTGTCTCTAGAAACAGAGTCTAATTCTCGGTTCTAAAGTCAAAAGAGGCGTTGTCCAAACACCGATGTCTCGGGTATCCCACTCTGCCTTTTCTGTTTTGTATATCTCATTGTGTTTTCTTCATCTGTAATTGTGCCTAGTTATTATTGTTGTGTTTGTGAACATGCTGTTGTGTTTTAGACATTTGTTGATGCGGTTTGTACTTCGTGGCCACGGTAAATTGTGTCATTTTTTACTGTCGTGAGATCTCGAATCGTGAGATTTTTTGACTCTCCCCCTTTTTAGCGATCCCAGGACAATTCCACTTATTTGTCATTTGTTGATCTTTTCCGACATTTGCCGCCGAGTCCATTCAAACTATAACCGCACAATAAAAAAGACTTTGAACCCTTGACCTTCTCACTTCAAAACAGTGATATCCAAATGCTATTTGCTGTATATATTCTGGCATTAATTCATTAAATAATGGGAAGTGAATTATGTTAGGGTCATTGTTAGCTCGCCACAGTAAACCATGAAATCTGACACCTTAAGTGTCTGCCCCACCAAAAAAACACAAGAAAAAAAATCTTACTTAGGGGCCGCCATAAATTCTGCAAATTACAATCTGAATCTGTACATGGCGTTCATGTAACCAGTAAAGAAAGAAAGTCTCAAAATTTCAAATGGCATACGCAATCCAAACAAACCACTCAGAGGCTTTCTGTGACCAACACTGAGGGCTTTTATTTATCGGAGTCATTCATTTTTAATGTGAGGGTTTCCAGCAGTGACACGGCAGAGCAGGGGCAGATTTCAGTCCGTCCGTCCCCCACCTCCGGGCAAATGAGTGGGAGAAAGCAGAGGCCTGTGAAGCTTGTCCCTGTCTCACCGAGAAGGAGGAGAATCAGCTCAGCGGTCCACGCCATAATATCCAGTGACAGTTCCTCTTTGGCGCAGTGCTGAGGTAAGCCAGTAAGCCTGGCAGTTAGTTTTCTTTTTTTTCTCCTCTTTTTCTCTTTTGATGCATGTGTGCTGGAGACACACTCCGGTTTGACTGTTGTGAGCGGTTTGACGTTACAGCTGATCATTTCTCGCTCCCCCCTTTCTCTCTGTTCATAGGATTTCATGGCCCAACAGATATGTGGCACAATCAGCACAACCCCGTTCCCAATGAGACGTCGGGAAGAGTCTTTGGAAAAACACGGACCCGAGCGCCTGGAACTTTTTGATCAACCATTCTCTATGAGCACAGCTTCACCTTCTGCCCATCCCCGTGCTCAGTAGATGTGCTTTAAGCACAACTAATAACACATGAAAGAGTTGCCCTACTTCGAAAATCCTAAGCTGCCATGACTTCAAAGAACCAATTATCTCTCTAATAAGGGATATTATTACACTTAAATCCTCACGTTTTGGTGTGATTAGAGTGATTTGCTGATCAAATGGCAGCAGGTAAAAATACAGATTCTGAGCTGAGATGTTTAATGCAAATTTACTGAAAACAATGTGTAAACCTTCCCTTACAAAGCTGAAAATTTTAGTTTTTGTCCAAAAAAGTAAGAAAAACGACAAACATTTTTTCTGCTTAATGAGTGTTAGGTAATTTGATACAATCCTATTATAAATTATTATTTATGCAAACTGGTCTCATAAAACGCGTGGAGTAAAGATGACGTCTGAGACTGTGAACTGGACTTTTAGCTTTTCGCCAACAGCTCCAAAGCAAATGGCAACTTTATTTGTGAAAACAGTAGTTTCTTACGAAAAAAAAAACAAAACCAAAAATGAATGAATAAAAATGAGAAGTATAAAGTCTTTCCTCACTTTTTAAACCCAGCGCTGTGAGAGGGGCAGAAAGGGGCTTGAACTTCATAATCACAGATCTTTTTTTTACCTCAGTAAAAATATTGTTTTGCACAAGGCAAGTGCTGACGATTTCTCCGCAGCGTCTCTGTAACCTTGGTTCCCGTTTCTCTGATTTGCAGGGCTGCATGACCCCGTTTCATTGGCTTATATTCACAACCACATGAGTCAGCCCGCGCTAATGAGAGACGTGGGCTGATAGCTATATGCCAAAGAGCTCAAGGTCACATTGTTGCTGAATTTTCATGCTTATATATATATATATATATATATATATATATATATATATATATATATATATATATATATATATATATATAAAAAAATTCCCTTCTCACCCACCGCGGGTGGTTCTTATCCTCTGAGCTCGGGTCCTCTACCAGAGGCCTGGGAGCTTGAGGGTCCTGCAGTATCTTGGCTGTGCCAAGGACTGCACATTTCTGGACTGAGATGTCTGATGTTGTTCCTGGGATCTGTTGTAGCCACTGCTCCAGTTTGGGGGTTACTGCCCCGAGGGCCCCGATGACCACAGGCACCACTGTGGTCTTCACCTTCCAGGCCCTCTCCAGTTCTTCCCTGAGGCCCTGGTATTTCTCCAGTTTCTCGTGCTCCTTTTTCCTGATGTTGCAATCACTTGGTATTGCTACATCTACCACAACGGCTTTCCTCTGATGTTTATCCACTACGACAATGTCTGGTTGGTTCGCCATTACCATTTTGTCTGTCTGGATCTGGAAGTCCCACAGGATCTTAGCTCTGGCGTTCTCCACCACCTTTGGGGGTGTTTCCCACTTTGATCTCGGGGTTTCCAGTCCATATTCTGCACAGATGTTTCTGTACATTATGCCTGCCACTTGGTTATGTCGCTCCATGTACGCTTTCCCTGCCAGTATCTTGCACCCTGCTGTGATGTGCTGGACTGTCTCAGGGGCCTCCTTGCACAACCTACACCTTGGGTCTTGTCTGGTGTGGTAGATCTGGGCCTCTATTGCTCTGGTGTTTAGTGCCTGTTCCTGGGCGGCCAGGATGAGGGCCTCTGTGCTGTCCTTGAGTCCAGCTTTTTCCAGCCATTGGTAGGATTTACTGATATCAGCCACTTGGGTTATTTGCTGGTGGTACATCCCATGTAGGGGCTTGTCCTCCCATGATGGTATCTCTGGCACCTCAACCTCCGTTCCCTGTTGTCTGAGACATTCACTGAGCACATTGTCTGTTGAGGCTTTGTCCCTGATGTATTTATGGATCTTAGTTGTTTCGTCCTATATATATATATATATATATATATATATATATATATATATATATATATATATATATATATATATATATATATATAAAGAAATAGGCGCTTTGGTTTGTCTGACCTTAGAGCTGACAAATGTTTGTGTATTTTTCTGTGCACTCAATGGTGATGAGCCGTCAAACAAAGCCATTTCCAGGAAAGGTAATAAAATTTAATAAGAGCGATGAGGCAGTGGTGTTGTTGTTGTTGAAGGAAGCAGTAAATCCAGATCCCACATGACAGCACTGTCTATTGAAAGCAAAATCCAGTCGATTAGGAGCTCCGATTGTTGCTTTCAGTAAAAACAAGACCAAGTTGCAGGTTGTTTCTTCTTCTCATGTACTTCAACGTCAACAGCAGCGACACCAGCAGTCACACAGGATCTCTTTTGTTTTTTTTTGTCACGTGTTTGTGTTTTATTTTAATGTGAGAAAAAGAGGATAACCAATTTAAATACAGAGAGGTATTTTCAAGTGACGATTTAATCTGTTTGATGGATCAAAATCTATCAAAAAAAAAAAAAATCTGGCCTTTTGTGAAAAAGTAATTGCTTCCAAAACTTGTAGCTGACTGCGCCACACTTGCCATCAATTGTTTGTCACAACTGGAACTTTTACGTCGCTGTGGGGAAATCTGGTCCATTTATATTTGAAGAGCTGCTTAAATCCAGAAACTCTGAAGGCTTTTGGTGCATGAACAGCTGCAGCACTTCTGTTGGATATGTGGCTATGTATTTGACCAAGTCACTGCAAAACTTTCATTTGGTTTGTTGGAGCTGTGGCGAGAAGCGGGCTTTAGCTAAACGTTACGAGCGGTTGATTGGTCGGACTCTCTCTTCTTCACGAATCGCAATCAATTTACTAAATTCTTTATGCAGTAAATGCAAAAAGACTGGTGGGTTAATCTGCACATAAACGTCATATTCAGTAGCACTGCAAGAAAGTGTTACAGTTCTACCATATCAATCATTAAAAACATAGAAGTAATTATAGATCAGTTGATATCCCACCCAGAGCTTTTCTTAAGAGAGTTTTTCCTATCATTTAATCTGATCAAATCAGAAAACTCGTCCCTCTTGACTGGTGTTTTCCACTCGTCAAAGCGTTTAAAGACTTTTGCATGAATGCAGTCTGTGGAAGAACCACAGTGCTGGTTCTGTTTGAACCTCATTGTTGCATTCAACACGGTTGACTACAACATGTTCCCGAAGCAAATGGTGAGATGACACAAGTGTAGGACCTGTGAGTGGTTTCAGCAGGCAGAAAATGAAATCTGAGGTACCTCAGGGTTTCATCCTTGGGCTCCTATCTAATA